CCACTACTTTTACGAATCACGTTGAAACGTGCAATCTACATCGCGTGATTGTCTCACATTTTAAATATACGTCAATAATATGTGCATTTGCAATATACTTACAATTAAATTATGCTTGCGAATATTAATCACGTCGCCAGAGGGAAAAAGGAGTTACATAAATCGGTCTGATCACACATGTCAGCTCTAGTGAAAAACCATCGTGCTTTAATGCATGTTAATTGCGGTCGAGTAATGCGTTCAGTATGAATTTTAATTCTAGCAATAGCTGTTGCAAGAGTAAGCAGGAATGTGAGCGTCGAATGATTCATGAGTGATAACCGGAGGGTAACTCATGAATTATAAACCAGTTTTCTTATTGTACTCATTTACACATTGTAATCACATTGTGAATTATGAACAACGATTGTATTAATTTTTTCTCATCATTAATCGCGTTTACATTAAAAATGTAAATCGACTGAAAGATATTACACTTTAGGATTTAGGAAATTGGAATAATCATTGTTATCACGTGTTTTAATAACACAATTTAAATAATTCTTCTCACTTCAATGCTCTTATGCTTTTCGATGTAATTTCCGTGATTACACAATCGTTTACATTTACACAGAGGAAAGGTTTACGAAGTCTTCGAGGACTCGATAAATTAAATATAAATATGTATTACGAAGCAATAAAGCACTTGAACTCTAAGCTTTCGACAAAGAAACCGTACTTCCTTCGAGGATTATTGAACAAGCAACTACAAAACTTCTTTATAAACTTCCTTTCCCCTCTACGCATGAGTATTGCGCCGTTTTTCACAAAGTAACAAAAGAGTCGGTATGTTGCAAAGCGAAATTTGATTTCCGCGACATTTCCTGCGAACAAAGTTTCAGAATCGATGTCACATGTACTTATTTCATCTAAAAGGAAGAAATCTTCTCTGACAGATAGAGTTCACGATTTGCGTGTTCTCCGTAGAACGTTATTATTGCAGTATATTACGCACTTTAATAAAATACAAATTTTAATACATTGAAGAAAGAGTCTGGTAATAGTTATCAATTATTAAGTGAAATGATTTCAATCAAATGTTCAGTTTATACAACCAAAAATAATTTTACTTTTCTATAAATCTTTTTATTGGGTTGTCCGGAAAGTTCGTGTCGATTAACCTATATAATTTAATAAATATATACTAAAATTGAAATTTTCTGCGTTTCAATTTTCCTTCAACATCAGCACGAACTTTCCGGACAACCCAATAGTAAATATTCCTAAACATAATAATATACAACTAAATACAACTAAAATATTTATTAGATTAATATATTATATATTTATTATATTAATAAATTTATTATATTATTCGAACACTTGACTGAAATTATTTCACGCAACATTTGGTAGTTATTATCAAACTTTCTTTTCAGTGCATTACTTGTTTTAGCATTACATGTTTTAATATTATACTCTAAAAACGATATAATTTGTAATTTAAATTCGATCTCTTCCAAATATTGCAATATACTTCTAAATTCCAGCTTCAAAATAAAATTTATATTGTTCTTGCCATACACTAAAAACGAATTCGCATAATTCGCTAGGCTTGAATGCTATGATGTGTTGAACGAAATCCTTGATCATCGAATTGCTGAGTATTTGGAGCAGGGGTAATGGGACACGTAATAACATTTCTAGGGTCACATAACGATCGATATGTCACATCGTTGCTTTATGGATCCAGCAACAACCTCGTGGACTGAAATAAACGAGAACAGAATAAAGATAGAACGTGCATGCTGCGCTTAGGAAAGAGGTAATAAAAAAATCTAAAAACTAAAGAGGAGAGCAACAAGATAATTAATGGATTTTATGATGAATGGACTGAAAAAGAATCCTTTAATAACAAATCAACAGTTCTAATATAATAGTTTTAATAAAAAAAAAGATACGATTTACGGAAGAAACATATTAAACGAAAAAAATGATATTTTATTCATTTAATGATATTTATTCATTAAATGATATTTATTCATTTATATACCTTAAAAAAACCTTCGAGTATCCCTCGTGTATATTTTCGAAGATGAAACATTATAGAGAAAAGTACTTCTTCGTTAAAAGAAGAAAATTCTCTATTGTACAGAATGTCCAAATGTTTAATTTATACTCCGGAACTCAATTGAATCGCAGTTCTTTCAACTCTCGACCTAGATTACAAAAATGATAATTTAGTATTGAAAATCATATTTTAACATGAGAAAAGTTCATTTACAAAATGAACTTTTCTCATGTAAACTGCATAGACAAGTCGGATAACTTTTTAAAAATATTATTTATATTTGTGTTCATTCGCTATTTAAACAAATTGTTTAAATTGAGATGGAAACTTTATTCTTGGATTCACAAGTGACGAGATCACCGGAGCGCGAAGTAATAAATGGAAGCTTGAAGACACGGCAAGATCGTGTGCAGACAAAACAATAAAAGTGGATAAGGAATAAATAAAATGAATGAAAAAGGCGAGGAAAAAGAGACGGAAAACAGTGAGGAATTGCGGACGAAGGAACAACTTGAATCGAGAGACAAAAAAGGGAAAGAAAGTGAAAGAAAGAAGGAGAGGAAGACAGACGGAGAAAAAATGTCGGAGAGAACGAAGAGTTGTGCGAGAGATGAGAGTGAGAGAGGATGCGAGTTTATAGAGATTGAGGGCGGTAAGCGGAAGAAGGGGAGAAGAGAAGGTGCTGCAGACGCGCCACGACAAGGGTAAATGTACGTACGAATGCACCCCGGATTGGCTTCGGGATGGTTTCCATGGAAACCAATTCGCTCGGCCCGGGGAAGTAGTCGTCGCCGCTTCCACCACCGTCACCGCCGCCGCCACCACCGCCACCACTACCATCACCACCACCGCCACCATCGTAACTGCCACCACTGGCGCAACTTTCCCCGGAAAATCGTACTGCCTCTAAACGTCAAAAAGTTGGAAACGACTGGTTCGCTCATTACCTGCGGGTACTCGCATGCGAGATCTCCACTTGTTAGAGATTCACGATGGAGAAGTAAAATTGTTAGCCAGGTTTTATTCCTTCGATGTAAAATTAGTTCGATCAAATTTCAGTAAATTGTATTTGTTTTGAACTTAATTTTAGTCCTGACGAACCCCTAACGAACCTAGCGTTTTAAATAGTGAAGCACATAATATATATATATATATATA